GCTCTGTGCATGATGGGGCGGCGCCCCAACTCCCCAATCGGCCCTGCTCTGAGCCTGACCAGGGGCTGCACTTAGGGATTGGGCGTGCCCTCTGCCACCCGGGAGCAGGCCTAAGCCAGCAGGTTGTTATCTCCCGAGGGGTCCCAGACTGCGAGAGGGCACAGGCCGTGCTGGGGGACCCCCCTTCCCTCGCCCCCCGAGTGCACAAATTTTTGTGCACTGGGCCTCTAGTATATATATACTTATTTTTTATTTTTTTATTTGTTTCTTCTGGCTGTCTTAAGTCCATAAGTCTGACTGCTTCCATACTGGTGACCAGAAAAGGAACAGATTGGGAGATTCCCATAGACTCCTTGCTTGGCTTAACTCCCACAGAGCTGGTGTCAGGTTGTATTTGAGCATGGTGTCACTAGGTAATCGAGAAGCTAGGACAAGGAAAAAACATCTGTTGAAGGGGATGAATTGTATGTCACTCCTACTTTATCCATGCCCTTTGGTATATCGTGGTGAACTTTAAAATAGAATTCTTGATCAAGTCCGCTGCTTTCCTGTGGTGTGGGCCCCTCTGGAGAAATAGGGCCAGTCCCATGTGGTAGGAAATCCAACAGACCCTGATGGCATCTCCTGCCATTTAGGAATTTGCTTTAAACTCCTTCTCCAAACATTAAAAACTTTGTGGCTTCCTCCCCGTCCAAAGTTTTGAACGTCAAGTCTTTGTTGATTCCAGTACCCTATATATTCAACATTGTCTCCTCCTCTCCATCTTTATCGACACCTTTGGCCAAGTCAGTGTTATCTGAGTTAGAAAAATCTGTGAAAGACTTTAAGATTGGCAGAAAAGATTAGTGGGAGCCCTGCCAGCTAATCTATCTGGGTTATCTACCGTCCATTATTTTTGAGTTGCTCTGCAACTCTGTGACTTGTAGATAGTCATGCAGATGATACATATTCATAAAAATGTAAAGTAGCTTGGGATGCAATTGATTATTACCCCCTGGAGAGACCTGTTTTTCACCTATTAAAAATTTATTTCACCTTTCCTTTACATAAACATATGGCATTTTGAATTCTACTTTGAACCAGTTTTAACACCTTACTGGTTCCCTCATTAATTAATGAGTTGAAGTCTTTGACACATGTTAATATTACATTTGAATGAAATCCACAACTTTACCGTTTTTAAAAAAATTATCTCTGAACACACAGACCACTGTAATACTTTGCCAACTGGTTCTTCCTTTCCATGCTTCACTTTATCCATCCCCTTCCTTTCACTTTCTACAGAGTAGCTGGAGTGATCTTACAGTGTAAGCCTAATAATCTCTTTTTTTTCCCTGTAAAATCTTTCAATGGCTGCTCATTGTTTGTATTCGGTTTTTAAGGCCCTAAATAGTTAGCCCCCCCCCCCCAATTTACTCCTTATTTCATTTTACTTT